TCATCTCTTAATTTCTCTTGCCATGGCTGATTTTGCTCGACCGCAGTCAGTCAGGTATGAATTGCGTGATATATTATTATGTGGTGCTGCTGTTGAAGTTGTTTTTGACGTTCGGGTCCACCACCCGGGTCCCCGATACAATCGTATATATATTGAATAGTCCGACCAAGAGTAATCTGCAGGTCTTGCTCTTGTTGTTTATTTTTTTTTGGAAATGTCAGCGAAGTAGGCTTCCAACAGCCGAGGTAGCCCATTATACACCAGGATTGAGCGAGCGAAATCCATAATGAACTCGCTTCACATGTCAATATTGAAATTCTGGTTGACAGCACGGCAATTTCGTGTAGCAGTGAAGAGGTGTAGCGCCAGTTTCGATTCAACGGTAGCAACAGATAAACGGTTAGAGAATAGAAAAATGGTTCTACTACTCTAGTGGGTAGTTCTGGTAGCGACGGCAACTTGTCACTTTTCATAAGACAGCTTGCGATGGTGGTGCCTTTGCTGACTCGCGATGGAGCCCGGACCACCGGTATTGTAACCGAAGAGCGAGCCCACTGCGTCTCCGTTCATGAGTGTAGTCGGATCGGTACAATCAATCATGTTGGCACTTGTGGCACCTCCACCTTTCGTGATTGACAAGAGTATGTCGGTGAGTAGGAGACTGTCATCCTTGGTAACCGACGAGAGAGTGTGTGTTTACACCCACCAGTAGTAATTTTTGGCAGTTCTTTATTGCCACTCTCGTCGCCGGTGATACTCGAGAGGCCCTTCGTGAGTGAGTCAAAGTCTGCAACCACCGGTGATTGTAGTGGCCGCGTTGTGCTCGCCCTCCTGTCGAGCGGTTCAGCCTGTAGTGATGCCTCCCATGGGCGTCGAGGAGTAGATGGGTGAGTAGTAGCTGAGGTGAGAGCGCACTGGATGAAGATCGGGAAAAGGGTAGAGAGTATCTGCATGGCAATTATGTGTATTATACATTCATACCAATGTGTTCACGACGAAATGAAGTGTGTGAATTTCCCTACTCGGCTCTACATGTAGTTCGAACAACTTCAACTCAATCCTTATTGAAGTCAAGTCAGTATGTACAAGTCCCTCGCCATCCTCATGTCAGGAGTGCACTGCACGTCCAAGACTCCCTTAACTAACTAGTTAAGAGAGTCTTGGACGCGATAGAACACCTTGGGTAACAACACACTTACATATATTCAACTCGTCCCAGTTGTTTTTTTTTTTTTTTTTTTGCGTCGGCTTGAGTCCGCCGATGCTACAACTTCGAGCTTCACGCTCTCGATCTCTACACGGAGCCCATCGACACATCACTAGGTCCACCGACAGACCCATCGAAGCCTCCCATACCGGAACCAGGGGCCATCCCTCCTCCATTACCCCCGGTGGTCGTGCTCGTCGAGTCCGCCATGACACCGCCGTCCGCCGTCAGCGTACCCGCCGCCGTGATGGTCTGTGCTCGGGTCATGTCGACACCGACGGAGATCCAGGC